AAAGGATATGTGAAGAGTCCACACCGTCCTGAAGCATCCATTATGCAAAAATATGTCTCTGAAGAAGCAGCAGAACTTTCCCAAGATTATTTAAACAATGTACGACCAATTGGGTTTAGACAATATGATGTCAAAGATCATAGACATGGCATTTCTATGAAGACCGCTGATCCTCATGAATTGCAACAAGCACACTTACATATCTTGAATAATGTTGATCAAGTTCAAGACTATATAGATGTGCATAAAGAACTTGTGAGGAAGCAAAACAGTCGAATTAGGATAACTGAGCAAAGATTAATTAGAGAGCATAACAATACTTTTGCAAAGTGGTTTAAGCAAAAGGTTGAAAAGGAAGATTGTGTTTCTGATATTGTTAAGGGGCTGGCACAAAGTCCTGAGTGTGATGTTATATACTGGACTACATTTGAGGTTAATGGGTATTTGTTCTATATGAAGTCTCTAGACAATAGGAGTAATGTATAGAACAGTGGTGTTACATTAATGGCCTCAGGCATGCACTTCTCCAGCTCGAAGACCAAAATCCTTTATTCGCATCCATGCCTTATTACGGGGTTATTAAAGAGATTTGGGAGGTTGACTATATTAAATTTAAAATCCCTATTTTCAAATGCAAGTGGGTTGATGTTAAAAATGGTTTTCATCAAGATAGGATGGGATTTACATTAGTCAACTTAAATACTTTAAGTTTTGGCGATGAACCTTTTATTATGGCAGACCAAGCGAAACAAGTGTTTTATGTTACAGATCTGAGAAGTAAAACATGGTCAGTAGTTCTTGAAGGAAAAAGAGAGGTTAATATTGATGAGAAGGATTGTTCAGATTTCAATATTTCTGAGACTCCTTCTTTCTCGATAGGCTTGCCTGTATTGAATATAGAAGATGAATTGGATGACGAATATGGTACGAGAAATGATTATCACGAAGGGATATGGGAGAATATTGCTATTTAAAAATATGTTAAAAGTTAGTTATTTATTTACAACATGTATGATTTATTAAATTGGTTATTTATTGTGTTTTATTCATATTAGAACATGCTTTATTTATTAGTTATATCACTGATGATTTTTACTTATTGTCTAAACAGGAACATGGAGGATCAGAGTGTTAATCAAGTCTACCCCGATCGTGTCTACCAGTGGTGATGACTGTGTGATTGTTAGTCCTCAAACTGCAGGTAGTAGCCAATCTACATGATCCAGGAGGCCTAGAAGTGGCACGCGATTAAGAGAGTTAGCTTTAAGTCGGAGCAGAGGCGAGAAGATTTCGATCTAATTTGATAACAATTGGAAGCCAATCGGGCCTAATGGGGCTAAGTTTACTAGTTTTTTAGGCCTCCAAGCTCGTAGCAAGCCAAGTATATTGGCACCCACATGGGACGATGTCCCAGAACGAGTGAAGGAACAGATATGGGAAGCCATCAATGTATGATAAATGTGCTTTTATCACTTGTTATCATTATTTGTTACTGATTATTATGACTATATCACTAACTATTGCAATGACATGTATTGTAGGTTACATACGATGTCCCCATGAATATAGACTTTAAGCATAAGTTGATGACTTGGGCCTGTGATCGTTGGAGGGGTTTCAAGACATCACTAGTTAAGAGATTTGTGCATATTGAGGTGCTAGAAGGACAGCCATGGCCTAATCCTTGTACCCCATACACATTTCTCGATGCAGCTACTTTTGAAGAATTCGTTAGGCTTCGGACTATGCCAGATGCTCTAGTGAGTTAGATTATTTTAAATTTTTTTGTTTATTTTAGTTATATATCATTGTCTTTATTAGATAATGAATATTTTGTAATTCTAATTCACAGGAAAAGAGGAGAAAGGCATAAAAAGTTGGAAGGAAGAACAATTGCCCCCAAACAAAGTCTCGTGGAGGTTATGTGTTGGCCGATAAGGAATTGATAGATGCCAAGAGGAGGAAGAGAGAAGAACAAGCTCAATCAGATCCTTCTATTCTACTGTCTCCACCATCTCTAATACGCCGCGATGAGAGATGGATTTATGCCCACAAGAAGAAGGACAGGTCCTTTTCAAGTGAGTATGCTCGTGAGGTCGCTCAGAAAATTGTAAGTACAATTGTCATTTGTAATCTTATTTTAAATATCAAATATTACTAATTAATTATTATTTATATGTTACAGGATGAGCTTAAACAGAAGCAATTCGAGGGATCATTCATCCCAGAGGGAAGAAATGATATCCTGGCTGTTGCTACAGGAAAAGGAGAGCATCCTAGATGTGTTTAGGGATTTGGATTAAGGGTGAGTATAAGAGATGTATTTGGACCACCTCAAAAATGCCATTCTTCAGGACTCGTGACTAGGGAGGAGTTGGATATGATGTTAGCTCAATCAAGGGCTGAGGCTGAGGCTACTCTTGAAGCTAGGCTACAAAAGATGAAGGAAGAAATGATAATGATGATGAGCTCAACCAAGGAGCCAAGTGGCCCACAGATTCACTCCCCTACTTGTCATCCGAGTACTAAAGGGAGCAATATTGTTCCACTTCCTTCAAAGGATGACCCTGCTCCAGAGGGTGAACTATGCTACTTGTATATGGAGGATCCAGAAAGACGCTTAGTAGCACACGGTTACATCCACGAGGGGTCAAAATGCCACTTTCAGGAAGTTCAAGAAGATGTTGTCAAGGTCACTGTTGAAGAGGCAAAAATCGATGATGCTTCTGTCCCATTCCCCACTGATGAGATCAAGACAGTGAAAGATGCCAAGGGCACTTTTTGCTTATGGCCAAAAAGACTTGTTGGGAAGCCTCAAGATCCGGTAACAAATTTTATTAATTAATTGTAATGAATTCTTTATATTTAAGAATGTGTTACTAATTTTTTTATTTAACAGGAAACTCCATCGTCCTATAAAGTAGGTTAAAAGCCACAATTGTTCAAGCTAAGCCTATGGGATAGATTTGTATTGATGGCATATGGTGGATCATTTCCGGTGTTTTAAAGCGAATCCTGATCTTGCTGGCTTAAACAACTATGAAATCTTTGTTGAGAATGAGGACCTCCGTCAGATTCTCATTGATACTGACCTAACCATGGCGAACATCTAAATTGGGATGATGTAAGTGTCTTCTTGTAAATTTAAATGAAATTAAACAATTCAGCTTTTCAAACTAACTTGTTTAATTTTTGTAGGTTTTTGCATCAATTGCTAGTTTCCTCGAGTAAAGACAAACAACACGAATTTCTTTGCCCACATTACACTAATGATAAAGAGACACCAAAGAGGTAAAGGAGGCATATATGAACCAGAGGCTGAGTGAAGGCAGAAAGGAGTGTTATTTTTCCATGTTTCTTAATCTGTAAGTAAATATATTTGAATTTATTCATAATGGTATCGAATATTTACTTAAATGACTTTTTTTACAGTACACACTGGCAATTGATAGTGTTTTCGATGAAGAGCAATTCTATAATCTTTTTATGCTCTTTGCATCGTAAACTCAATCCGGCAATGAAGAAATCTTGCGAGCAGTAAGTGTGCTTAAGGAGTCTTATAATAAAATTTTTTAGTGATTAAGTTACTAACTATGTCATGTTAATGATAGGGCTATGAGGATTGGCCAGCAAGTCTGATTGGGCAAGGCCCCACATGATGTCAAGGATCCTACATGGATAACACCAAAGGTAACAAGTTATACATGTTTTTATTTTATGTAATTTTGATGATAGAGCCTTCTTTCAGTATAACTATGACAATATTGTGTTATTCCATAGAGCCGTCGGCAACCCCTATTAATTTGTGCGGCTTTTATGTGTTGAGACATGCATACAATATCATCACCGCTGGCTTGACTAAGTTCACTGAGGAGGTAAATGTAATTTTAGATATTATTTATTTTTTCTTCTAATATAATTACTGATTTAATTCCCTTATCCCTAATCTTTTCAGATGTTCAATGATCCATCTCCATTTCCGGATTCAGAGATCCATCAAATAAGGCAACATTGGGGACTCTTCATGTTCGATCTTTGTAATAATCATCCTTTGGAAGAGTGAACTGTGTAGTTGTAAACATTAGTAAATATAGTTGTGTGTGTAGGATTACTTAGTTGACAATTTATGTTTCATGTGTTTGGAATTGTACATAATTTTAAATTCATTTGATTTCAACAATATATGATTGTCTGGTTGGCTGATTGTTATTTGGCTATTATATGTTTGATTAATGCAGGATTTAAATTGTAGCCTATAATGGTTAGGGTAAATGAAAAAAATGGGAGAATTTTTACTTAGAAAACAAATATCTACACCGGTTATAGATATAACAAGTGTAGATATATTATTATCTACATTGGTTCAATGAATAACCGGTGTAGATAATAATATATCTACACCTGTTATAACAATAACCAGTGTAGATATATAGGTTATCTACACCAATTTAGGCAACGATCGGTGTAGATATATGATTATCTACACCTGTTATATCCAGAACCGGTGTAGATATCAACTTTTAAAAAAATTACATATATATTCATAATTAATGTTATCTACACCAAATTTATAACCGGTGTAGATATATCCGTTAACTACACCAGTTAAATAACCGGTGTAGATAACTTCATAATATCTACACCGGTCTTATCTACACCAGTTACTAAACTGGTATAGATAAGCTATTTTAACCGGTGTAGATTTATCTGTGTGTACTAGTGCACAAAAGGCAAAGAACATGCTAAAACCCAAATCTCTTATAAAGAGAAGCTACTCAGGGAAGAAAAACCAGAATGTTGAGAAAGGATATGATGAACTGATGAAGGAGTGGCTGCAAGAGGAGCAACAGATGATCCCAAAGCTCACGGAAGATCAAAAAGCTATACTGGATAATTTACCGTAGATTAATATATCTAATGAGATCCTGAAGAAGTTATGTATGCCATAGAAGGATGCTGTGATAGTTACAGTATTGGGAAGAAGCATGATGTTGAAGGTGATGCGTGAGAAGATTGAGTGGATTTTGAAATCGTCGAACTTTAAACTCATTGACCTGCCAAATAATTATTTTGCCTTTGGATCAGAAGATAAAGCTCTGAGCCAGAAACTACTTTTTGAAGGCCCATGGCTTATCCAAGGCCATTACCTTGTAGTACAAAGATGGTCTCCAAATTTCAACCCCTATAGCAACTCGGTGGGAAAAATAGCTGTATGGGCGAGGGTCCCTACGCTGCCAATGCATTGTTTCTTTGAAGAACTAATGCTAGAATTAGGTAACATGTGTGGGAAGGCGCTGAAGGTTGATATGAACACCTTAGCCTACTGTAAGAACAGGGGAACTACGGCGGAGAGAGGACGTTTTGCTAGAGTTAGCGTTGAGTTGGATTTAAATCAACGTCTAAAATCCAAATTTGTTATCAGAAATAGAATTTACAGAGTTGAGTATGAAAGTGTAGATGTAGTATGCTTCCATTGTGGAAAGTACGGTCATAGAAAGGAAGAGTGCTCCCTCTTGCAACAAGAAAAATCTCAGGAACAAGGCTCACCGAAAAAGATGGAAGGTCAACCGAAGATGGCAGGAAACCAAAAAGCTGATCAACCACTTGTCAATGACCCTCTCGTTACTCTTGAGGAGGACCTAGGAGGACGGATGCTAGCTAAAAGGACTTTCAAACAACGGTACTGAAAATGGATAATACAGGGCCAAAACAGACTACACAACCTATGAGGTTAATAAATTCTTCCTCAATTCCTTTCATAATATCTATGACAAAATTATTATATTAGTATGCTTAGAAGTAGATTAATTACCTGTTGGGTGCTGACCAAAAATAAAAATAGATTACTTATTTGCTTAAAAAAATTATACAGTAGTGACATTTATGCAATGGTACTTTCAAAAAGTACCTCAAAAAATATGCTGTCGAAGCATTGCCAATGCCATTAAACATTGATAGCGTCAGCACTTTTCAATAAAAGTCATCATTGGCACCACTATTAAAAAGGTATCACTATTACAGAAAGAACGTTTCACGCTGGTTAAAATTAACTATTTCACACTTGTTCTAGAACTGGTGTGAAAACAATCAATAAAAAAAGTGTCAATAGTTGAAGTTGAAAATGACTGCATTGAAATCTCATTTTAATAAAAAAAAAAAAATATTTAATGCACTTTTAATGCTGGTTATGTACATAGCCAGTGTGAAAAGTGGACATTTAACGTTGATTATGATCATATATAACAAGTGTTAAAAGTGTACACATTTCACACTGGTATGAATATAACTAGTATGGAAAGTTATGGTTTTTTTTTTAAATCATGTTTATTTTTCTACTCAACCTTCATATTTACAGAAAATAACTTAGAAGTATAGTGAACAGCCAGCCAGAAACTAAAAACCAATCTACTACAACGCATATTTCAACATTTATAATCAAATAACTACAAAACTAATAAAGGTTACAATGAGCAGGATTTTTTAACACCACAAAATGGAAAATTGAACTCACAATTTCACGAGTTCTAAAAAGTAGCTTGCCCATTGAAATCGAATGCCTCTTAATTGCTCATCAGTAAATGGATTGGTTCGAACATCTGTTCGTTAAAAACAGAACAAAACATCAACTCTGTCTACAAACAAAATAAATAAATAAAACATTCTGGTCAAAAATATAATTTTACCTCTTCAGAAAACTCTGTTTTGCCTGAGGTGATGATGTTGATCAAGTGTATTATTACACAGTATCCACATGCATTACTTCCCTTCGGTTGTTTATGACTCTGTTGACAAGAACATATAATCAGTATTAAATCAAATGAATAAAATTGATATTATAGCTAGGTCGATAAGGTCATAATCAATGTAGCTGCTAACTTTAAGGCATAACCAAGTCCTTTCCTTTAGTAGGGGAGTTTTCCTTTTCTCTTTATGGTTTGGTAAGTTACCATAATCCTGTAATAAAAAACATGCATGGAATTATACACATATATTATAAAAACTTACCAAGCATAAAGTAAAAGAATATTACGAGTTCAATGCATTCTTCATATCCTTTACCAGTTTATAGTGGCTGGATCACAAAACCACGATGACGTTCTTTTTTGGGCAAATAATCACCAATTGCCAATGGTCTTTGCAAAGTAGTATATAAATTATGCGCAGATTTACAGAATGTGTGCGTATATATATATAATTAATTAAGTTAAAAACTTTTTCTTACGAGTTAAGGTATGGTGCAAAGTAACACTCATGCTTGCTTTCACGTAGCCTTTCCCCAAGGTAGATGCACAAGTTTTAGGGTGTATTTGGTTCAATAGAAGAGAAGGAGAGGAGAGGGGAGGGAAGGGTTTTAATGTTACCTTGTTTGGTTTTATTAGAGGGGAGAGGAGGGAGGGGTTTTTAATAATCCTTTGTTTGGCTTAGGAGGGGAGGTAATAATTAATTTACTATTATATCCCTATACATTAGTTTAAAATTTTTTAATTTTTTCTTGTAGAAAATAATTTTACACCTGAATTTAAATTACATGATTTTTTAAAAATTCACTCTCATACTATCATATTGTTAATATATGAAAAGAAATTAACCCAATAATTATAATTATAACAATTTGTTATAAGAAATACATAACTAAATATATAATAAAATATGATAAAATGTAACTTTTTTAAAAAAATCCAATGAGGTCAGTTGAGATTTGGGAGTGAAGCACAATCTAATATGAAAGAAAGTTTTTTAAGTTATGGGTATATTTAGAATATTAAAAAATAAACAAGGGCAAAATAGAAAAAAAATAGCTCCCTTTCAAAATTAAGGTGTTTGCAGGGGAGCAATATGAGGGGAAGGGAAGGGTTATTTTATTTTCCCTCCCCTCCAAAATTTCTTAACCAAATGAGGATAGGGGAGTTCCCTCCAAAACCTCCCAACCAAACACACCCTTAATTTATTTGGCAGGTTGTTAATAAAATAGCAAAATATGCAGTAGCATGAATTGGACTTGGACCTGAATAAATAATCAGCTAGAATTGGGAGCATAAGATGGACCTACCAAGATTGTTATCACATATTCAAACACACAATAATGCCACACGCAAACGAAAATCCTGTAGAAATTTTTTTTTGCACCTTTATTTAAATTGCATAATTTTTTAAAAATTCACTCTCATACTATCATGTGGTTAATATATGAAAAGAAATTAACCCAATAATTATAATTATAACAATTTGTTATAAGAAATACATAACTAAATATATAATAAAATATGATAAAATGTAACTTTTTTAAAAATATCCAATGTGGGCAGTTGAGATTTGGGAGTGAAGCACAATCTGATATGAAAGAGAGTTTTTTAAGTCATGGATATATTTAGAATATTAAAAAATAAATAAGGGTAAAATAGTAAAAAAATAGCTCCCTTTCAAAAATATCAATTTGCAGGGGAGTAATATGAGGGGAAGGGAAGGGTTATTTTATTTTCCCTCCCCTCCAAAATTTCTTAACCAAATGAGGAGAGGGGAGTTCCTCTAAAACTTCTCAACCAAACACACCCTTAATTTCTTTGGCAGGTTGTTAATAAAACAGCAAAGTATGCAGTAGCATGAATTGGACTTGGACCTGAATAAATAATCAGCTGGAATTGGGAGCATAAGATGGACCTACCAAGATTGTTATCACATATTCAAACACACAATAATGCCACACGCAAACGAAAATCCTGTAGAAATTTTTTTTTTGCACCTTTATTTAAATTGTATGATTTTTTAAAAATTTACTCTCATACTATCATATTGTTAATATATGAAAAAAAATTAACCCAATAATTATAACGATAACAATTTGTTATAAGAAATATATAACTAAATATATAATAAAATATGACAAAATATAATTTTTTAAAAAAAAATCCAATGAGGTCAATTGAGGTTTGGGAGTAAAGCACAATCTAATATGAAAGAGAGTTTTTTAAATTATGGGTATATTTAGAATATTGAAAAATAAATAAAGGCAAAATAGTAAAAAAATAGCTCCCTTTCAAAAAACACCAATTTGCAGGGGAGCAATATGAGGGAAAGGAAAGGGTTATTTTATTTTCCCTGCCCTCCAAAATTTCTTAACCAAATGAGAGGAGAGTTCTCTCTAAAATCTTCCAAACAAACCCACTCTAATTTTTTCGGCAGGTTGTTAATAAAACAGCAAAGTATGTAGTAGCATGAATTGGACTTGGACCTAAATAAATAATCAGTTGGAATAGAGAGCATAAGATGGACCTACCAAGATTGTTATCACATATTCAAACACACAATAATGCCACACGCAAACGAAAATCCTATAGAAAAAAATTTTGCACCTTTTATTTAAATTGCATGATTTTTTAAAAATTCACTCTCATACTATCATATTGTTATTATATGAAAAAAAAATTAACCCAATAATTATAACGATAACAATTTGTTATAAGAAATGTATAACTAAATATATAATAAAATATGATAAAATGTAACTTTTTTTAAAAAAATTCAATGAGGTCAATTGAGGTTTGGGAGTGAAGCACAATCTAATATGAAAGAGAGTTTTTTAAGTTATGGGTATATTTAGAATATTAAAAAATAAATAAGGGTAAAATAGTAAAAAAAATAGCTCCCTTTCAAAAAACACCAATTTGCAGGGGAGCAATATGAGGGGAAGGGAAGGGTTATTTTATTTTCCCTCCCCTCCAAAATTTCTTAATCAAATGAGGAGAGGGGAGTTCCCTCCAAAACCTTCTAATCAAATACACCCTTAGTTTCTTCAGTAGGTTGTTAATAAAATAGCAAAGTATGTAGTAGCATGAATTGGACTTGAACCTAAATAAATAATCACACTAGTACAAAAAAGATTTTTTACAGCGGTTAAAAATGACTTTTAATAGCGATTAAAGAGGCGATATTGTTCCAGGGGGTGTAGAAAGTCTCTCTTTTTATATCGGTTATAAACCCGATGTAAAAATTTAATTTTTAGATCGGTTATAAAGTCGATGTTGAAAATTATATACAAGAAAATAAAAAAAATTTACTTTAACTTTTAACACTGGTTGGGCTCCCAACTGGTGTATAAAGTATACTTTTTACACCGGTTATTACCATAATCGATGTAAAAAATATTATATTCTATAATGGTTATGGTAATAACCGGTGTAAAAAATATTTTTTTATACCATATTTATTTTATTGATTTTACCCATTCCTGTGCATAAAAATTGCCAAATCAGACAGCTCAATTAATTTACAATTGTTTATCAAATATTTATCAACTATACAAAGCTATTTAACTATTAAAAAAACTAATAATTGTCTAAATTGTCAAAATTGTCATTCCTATGCATAAAAATTGCCAAATGAGACAGCTCAATTCATTTACAATTGTTTATCAAGTATTTATCAACTATACCAAACTATTTAACTATTAGAAAAACTAATAATTGTCTAAATTGTGTTAACTATCAAAATTAAAATATGTCTAAAAGTAACAAAAAACTTCACAAGTTCTCCACAAAATAGGTTGCCCAACGTATTCGGATGTCTTCAATTTCAGCTTTAGAAAATGCATCCGAATTGTCAAACATCTAAAATTTAATTCACAAAATAGGCATATTAATCAATCTCAAATAACATAATAAAATAAAACTTTTAAAAATATATTTACCTC